TTGAATGCCTCTGGACCTGCCTGCGGAATAATAGGAATGGGTGCCCCAGACCCATTCTCCTCCTCATTCCCATCTCTGTCCTGCTCTGTGCCCTCTGATAGATCGTCGAGCTCCACGAACTTTGACTCCTGAGGAGCTGCTCCAGAATTTGTATTGACCTTATCTTTGTACATCATTTTCTCATTGAAAATCACATTTATGCTTTCGATAATCTTTCGATCCTGATCATCCTAGAAATGATAACCAAATGTTTCGTCTTCATAACCAATGAAATAACATTTCTTTGACTTAGCATCAAGCTTGCTACGCACATCAGGATTGATTAGAACAAAAGAAAGACAACTAAAAGTCTTAAGATGAGAAAATTTGACCTCTTTGCCGCTTCAGACCTCCTCAGGTAATTTACAGTCTAATGGGACAGATGACCCTCTATTGATCAGGTAAACTGCAGTGCTGACCGCATCTGCTCAGAAGGTTGGTGGTAGTCCTGCGTGCAATCTCATGCTCATAGCACGCTCATTGATGGTCCTGTTCATGCGTTTTGCAACTCCATTTTGTTGTGGTGTCCCCAGAACGATCTTCTCCATTCTGATACCTAGAGCTGCACAGTATTCCTTGAACCCACCATCAATGTACTCACCACCATTGTCAGATCTCAAGCATTTCAGTTTTAGATCTGTCTCCGTTTCAACCATGGCCTTCCAAGTTTTGAACACAGAAAATACATCAGATTTATGCTTCAGAAAGTAAACCCATACCTTTTTGCTGTGGTCATCTATGAATGTGACGTAATAGCGAGAGCCTCCAAGAGATGTCACTGGGGAAGACCCCCACACATTGGTGTGTACCAGTTCTAGTTTTCCTACCTTTGGCACCCTGACACCTTTCAGGAGACTGACCTTCTTCTGCTTCCCCATGATGCAACTTTCACACATGCCGAAATCAACGGACTTCAGCTTTCCTATAACTGAAGCTCTTTCATACCTCTCTGACTCATGTGTCCAAGTCTGCAATGTCACATGTCTGTTGTGCTCTCTGCAACTGTGGTATCAACATTGTTAATTAGACTAGTTGTCATATATAACGTACCAGTCTTCTTACCCCGAGCCAGTACTAGTGCTCTTTTAGTAACATTCCAGGTGTTAGCAGAGAACACTACTGAATGACCTCCCTCATCAAGCTGCCCAACAGATATGAGGTTCTTTTTCAGTTCAGGAATGTGTCTAACCTTTTACATGATCCATTTGTTTCTGTTAGAGAGTGTAATTTCAACATCTCTTATCCCCACCACGTTCAAAGCTGCTCTATCAGCCAGGTGAACTTTCCCAAAGTCACCTGAAACATAGTTTCTCATTAACTCTCGGTGAGAATATGTGTGAAAAGAAGCCCCCAAGTTAAGTATCCAGTCGTCAACAGAGTTATGAATTGCAAGTAATAATGCATTACTTCTTCAGTTACAGCGTTAGCACAAACGTTCTCTGTCTTCTTAGGATTTTTACAGTTCCTTTTTATGTGACCAATTTTGCCACAATTCCAGCAGGTTACTTGCTGACCAAACTTTGACTTGCTCTTGCTTCTATGCTTTGATTTTGACCTTCCTTTGTTTGAGTTTCTGTCCAGTGATCTCCCTCTGGAATCAACATTCAGTGCTGAACTTGAACCTGAGCTTTCGCCAGAATCTTTCCTGCGCACCTCTTCAGTAAGAATCAAGTCACGAATATCATCATATTTCAGTTTTGTTTTACCTGCAGAATTGCTAACTGCCATCCTCATGACTTCCCAGCTATTTGGTAATGAAGCCAACAATATCAGCGCACGTATTTCAACGGAAGATAATTGATTTGTGATAGTGTTGAAATCATTCAAATGATGAACAACTGACACGCCTTCCGCCATTTTCAGGTTGAATAACTTTTTCATCAAATGCACCTTGTTATTCGCCGATGACTTTTCATACATACCTGATAAGACC